CTTTGACTTATTGTAGAGATGAGGTCTCGCCAAGTTGCCCAGGCGGATCTTGAACCCGTGGGCTCAGGCAATCCACTCACCTCAGCCTCCCAAAGCGCGGGATTCCAGGCTGAGCCACTGAGCCTGGCACTACTGGTTTTATTGAATCACAATATACAGGTTTAGTTGATGGTCAGAATCTCACTGGAAGCCATATAAATGTCACAGTTGTTAAATGTGTGATGACTCAGTGTGGATCTTGATCTGTTCATTTATTTTCAGTAGAACAGATTGGAAATGCAACAAGAGAAGCATTTGCTTCCTTTGCATTCAGCCTCTTGTTTTTAGAGTCTGCTTACCTGATTCTTTATCGCCCCACAGGCAGAAAAAGTACATGAGTTGAATGAAGAAATAGGAAAACTCCTTGCTAAAGCTGAGCAGCTGGGGGCTGAAGGAAATGTGGATGAATCCCAGAAGATTCTTATGGAAGTCGAGAAAGTTCGTGCAAAGAAGAAAGATGCTGAGGTTGGTGAAATAGATGTCTTAGAGAAAGGGGACTCGTAACTTGAATAAGTTTTGTTTTTTAAGCAGTTTTAGGTTCACAGCAAAATTGAGAGGAAGGTACAGAGGTTTCCTGTGCATCCCATTCCCCACACAACCTCCCCCATTGTCAGCATCCCCCAGAGTGGTACGTTAGTGACTACCAGTGAACCTACACTTACACATTGTTATCACCCAGAGTCCACAATTTACATTGTGGGTTCTGAAAAATATATGACATGTATCTACCATTGTAGTCGTATCATACAAAATAGTTTCATTGCCCCTACAGTTCTTGTGTTCTACCTATTCCTACTCCCTTATCCTTGGTAACCATTGATCTTTTTATTGTCTTCATAGTTTTGCTAGATTGTCCTGTAGTTGGAACCATACTAGCAAACAACACGAACTTAACTGCATGGGTTCACTTATATGTGAATATTATTAGCCCCACCCCTCCCCCCCAGTCGGGGTTTTACTCTGTTGCCCAGGCTGAAGTGCAGTGGCATTATCACAGCTCACTGTATCCAAACTCCTGATTTTAGGCAATCCTTCTACCTCAGCTGCCCGAGAAGCTGGGACTGTAGTCATGTGCCCCCCCACCTGGCTAAGTCTTGCTTGTCTTGAACTCCTGGGTTTGAGGAGTCCTCCCCGCTTGGCCTCTCAAAGTACTGGGACCACAGGCATGAGACATTGCAACTGGGTATGGATATTTTTTCCAATTAACGTCAAATTTCTTTTGAAATTTGTGATGAAAAAACTTGTAGACAAATCGTGTAACCTGGAGATACTGAAACATTTTAAGAAAAATGTTAGCTATGTCATGAATGCATAAGAGGTATGTGGAGCCAGGCATGGTGGCTTTTGCCAGTAAGTTACTTTTTGCAGTGAAAGGAGGCCTCATGGTTCTTGCATATTTTTCATCATGATGCATAAACTTCAAGTAACACCAGGAGACCCATGTGAAGTGCCAGTAGTGGTGCTGAAAGTGCTCCCAAGGAGCAGAGGAAAGTCATGACATTATAAAAAAAGTTGAATTGCTTGATAGGTAAAGTAGATTGAAATTTGCAGCTGAGATTGCCTGCCATTTCAGGTAGGAAGTTTTTTTCTTGAGTTGGAGTCTCTCTTTCCCAGACTGAAGTGCAGTGGCACAATTGTGGCTTACCACAGCCTTAACCTTCTGGGCTTAGAAGATCCTTATGCCTCAGCCTCCCAAGTAACTGGGGCTATAGGCGCTTGCCTGACTAATTTTTTTATTTTTGTTGAGACGAGTTCTCACTATGTTGCCCAAGTTGTCTCAAAGTTCTGGGCTCAAGCGTTTCTCTATCCCCAGCCTCCCAAAGTGCTGGAATTACAGGTGTGAGCCACTGCACCCAGCCCCAAACAGACAGATTGATTTTGTAAACAGACAACATAAATTTACAGAATGGATATACTGTAGTACTGTATATATATTTTCTTTATGATTTTCTTAATAACCTTTTCTCTAGTTTTCTTTTCTTTTCTTTATTTTTTTAAGTTGGAGTCTCTCTCGCCCAGACTGGAGTGCAGTGGCCACTCCCGGCCACCGCAGCCTCGACCTGCTCGGCTCCGGCGATACTTCCGCCTCAGCCTTCCAAGTAGCTGGAACTACAGGCGTGCGCTACCACGCCTGGCTAATTTTTGATTTATTGTAGAGATGAGGTCTCGCCAAGTTGCCCAGGCGGGTCTCGAACCCGCGGCCTCAGGCAATCCACTCACCTCAGCCTCCCAGAGGCGCAGGATTACAGGCTGAGCCACCAAGTCCGGCCTAAAGGACATCTTAGTTGCTTCTAACTTTTGGCAATTAAGAATGAAACTGGGCTGGGTGTTATGACTCAAGTTTGTGACCCCAGCACTTTGGGAGGCCGAGGTGAGGGGATTGCCTGAGCCCATGGGTTCCATCCTGGGCAGCTTGGCGAGACCTCATCTCTACAGTAAATCAAAAAATTAGTCAGTTGTGGTAGTGCACTTCTGTAGTTCCAGCTACTAGGAAGGCTGATGCAGAAGGATCGCTTGAGCCCAGCAGATCAACACTGGGGTAGCTGTGATCATGCCACTGTACTCCAGCCTAAGCAACAGAGTGAGACTCCAACTCAACATCAAAAAGATGAGTGAAGCTGCTGTAAGTATCCTTGTACAGATTTTTGTGTGAACATACATTTTCAGCTCTTGGGTAAATACTAAGAAGCAACTGGACTTGGTGGCTCAGCCTATAATCCTGCGCCTTTGGGAGGCTGAGGTGAGTGGATTGCCTGAGTCCGCAGGTTCGAGACCCGGCTGGGCAACTTGGAGATACCTCATCTCTACAATAAATCAAAAAATCAGCCGGGCACGGTATTGCGTGCCTGTAATTCCAGTTACTCGGAAGCCTGAGGCGGAAAGATCACCAGAACCCAGTAGGTCGAGGCTGCGGTGGCCGGGAGCAGCCACTGCACTCCAGTCTGGGTGACAGAGTGAGACTCTTAAAAAAAAAAATACTAAGAAACATGATTGCTGAGTCATGGTAAGGAGATGTTTAGTTTTGTAAGAAACCACCTCTCTGTCTTCCAGAGTAGCTGTACCATTTTGCATTTCCACCAGCAATGAATGAGAGTTCCTCTTTCTCCGCATCTTTTTTTTTTTTTTTTTTTTTTTGAGTTGGGGTCTTACTCTGTCACCCAGACTGGAGTGCAGTGGCTGCTCCCGGCCACTGTAGCCTCGACCTGCTGGGCTCCGGCGATCCTTCCGCCTCAGCCTTTCAAGCAGCTGGAACTACAGGCGCACGCTACCATGCCCAGCTGAGTTTTTGATTTATTGTAGAGATGAGGTCTCGCCAAGTTGCCCAGGCGGTGCTCGAACCCGCGAGCTCAGGCAATTCACTCACCTCAGCCTCCCAAAGCGCGGGATTACAGGCTGAGCCATCGAGCCTGCCTAGTTTCTCCACATCTTTAGCATTTGGATTTAGTGTATGAATTTTGGCTACTCAGATAGGTGTATAGTGGTATTTTATTTATTTATTTTTATTTTTTGAGTTGGAATTTCTCTGTTGTCCAGGCTGAAGTGCAGTGGCATGTCATGGCCACCACAGCCTCGACCTACTGGGCTCAAGTGATCCTTCCGCCTCAGTCTTCCAAGTAGCTGGAACTATAGGAGTGTGCCACCACACCCAGCTAATTTTTCCTGATTTATTGTAGAGACGAGGTTTCAACCAAGTTGCCCAGGCTGGTGTCGAACCCCTTGGGCTCAGGCAGTCCTCTCGTCTCCACCTCCCGAAGTGCTGGGATTATAGGCATGAGCCACCAGGCCAGGCATATTTTTCCACTTTTATGATCTTTGAAATTTTCTTTATTTTTTTCTTAAGTCAGAGTTTCATTCTGTCACCCAGGCTGGAGTGCAGTGGCACGTTCATGGCAACCTCACATCCTCGACCTGCCAGGCTCAGGTGATCCTTCTGCTTCAGCCTTCCAAGTAGCTGGAACCACAGGTGAACGCCACTATGCCTGGCTAATTTTTTGCAGGTCTTGGCCTCCCAAAGTGCTGGGATCATAGGCTTGAGCCACACTGTGCCTGACCTATTGTTGTTTTAATTTGCAATTTTCTCTTTTTTTTTTTGAGTTGGAGTCTCACTCTGTCGCCCAGACTGGAGTGCAGTGACTGCTCCTGGCCACCGCAGCCTCGACCTGCTGGGCTCCAGCGATCCTTCCGCCTCAGCCTTCCGAGTAGCCGGATTTACAGGCATGCGCTACCATGCCCGGCTGATTTTTTGATTTATTGTAGAAATGAGGTCTTGCTGCCCAGGCGGGTCTCAAACCCGCGGGCTCAGGCAATAACATACAATGTTGAGCATCTTTTTTTTTTTTTTTTTTTGAGTTGGAGTCTCACTCTGTCGCCCAGACTGGAGTGCAGTGATCGCTCCCGGCCACTGCGGCCTTAACCTGCTGGGCTCTGGTGATCCTTTTGTCTCAGCATTTCAAATAGCTGGAACTACAGGCAAGCGCTACCACACCCGGCTAATTTTTGATTTATTGTAGAGACAAGGTCTCGCCAAGTTGCCTGGGTGGGTCTCGAACCCACGAGCTCTGGCAATCCACTCATCTTGGCCTCCCAAAGTGCTGGGAATACAGGTTGAGCCACCGAGCCTGGCCACAAATAATTTCTTTCAGTCTGTAGACTGTCACCTTGTTCTCTTGACATTGATTTTGCAGAGCAGAAGTTTTAAATTTTATGAGCCAGGCTCGGTGGCTCAGCCTGTAATCCCGCGCCTTTGGGAGGCTGAGGTGAGTGGATTGCCTGAGCCAGCAGGTTCAAGACCCGCCTGGGCAGCGAGACCACATCTCTACAATAAATCAAAAAATCAGCCGGGTGTGGTAGCACATGCCTGTAATTCCAGTTACTTGGAAGGCTGAGGCGGAAAGATCACCGGAGCCCAGCAGGTCGAGGCCGCGGGGGCCGGGAGCGGCCACTGCACTCCAGTCTGGGTGACTGAGTGAGACTCCAACTCAATTAAAAAAAAAAAAAATTTTTATGAAGTCCACCTTTTTAACTTTCTCTCATGGATTGTGCCTTTGGTGTTGTATCTGAAAAGACATTATTACTACACAAAGTCACGTAGATTTTTTGTGTTATCTTCTAGGAGTTTTATGATTTTGTATTTCATGTTTAGGTCCATGGTCTATTTTGAGTTAATTTTTTTTTTTTTAATTGTAGAGATGAGGTCTCACCATGTTGCCCAGACTGGTCTCAAACCTGCAGGCTCAGGCAATCCTCTCACCTTAGCCTTCCAAATTGCTGGTATTACAGGCTTGAGCCACTGTG